CCCCCCCCCTGCTTTAATTTTTTTACATAGAACTTATATGTCCATTATCCTAAAATCAAGGAAAAAACATCTCTTCTTTGTAAGAATTCATCACCTTCCCCCACCCTCACCAGGGCCTTGCTCTAGACCCACTGGGGCTTCAATGCAGCCCCCAGACCCAATGCCTCTACTGCCCCCCCCCCTTTATGAAATTCCTGGATACACCACTGCCCCGGGGGTCATCATTTGAACAAAATTGAATTTACACTACCTGAGGATGCTTCCATATCAAAATGACTTAACATGATTTTCAATTCTTGATAAGAAGATATTTTCCTATATGTTCCTATGTAAAATTTTCAATCCCCCATTGGGCCCCACCCGGGGGTCATCTTTTGAACAAAATTGAATTTACACTATACCTGAGGATGCTTCCTTATCAAAATGACTTATGATCATGGCTTTGTAGTTCTTCAGAAGAAGATATTTTCCTATATATTTCTATTTAAGACTTTGATCCTCCATTGTTGCCCCACCCTACCCCCCAGGGGTCATCATTTGAACAATACAATCTACACTACCTGAGGATGCTTCCACATAAATATGATCAATCAGGGCTTTGCTGTTCTTGAGAAGAAGATTTTTAAAGGTTTTTCCTATATATTTCTATGTAAAAATTTGATCCTCCATTGTGGCCCCACCCTACCCCCAGGGGTCATGATTTGAACAAATTTCAATCTACACTACCTGAGGATGCTTCCATATAAATATGACTCTTCATGGCTTTGCTGTTCTTGAGAAGAAGATTTTTAAAGGTTTTTCCTATATATTGCTATGTAAAACTTTGATCCTCCATTGTGGCCCCACCCAACCCCGGGGGTCATGATTTGAACAAATTTGAATCTACACTACCTTAGGATGCTTCCCTATAAATATGACTCATCATGGCTTTGCTGTTCTTGAGAAGAAGATTTTTAAAGATTTTTCCTTTATATTTCTAAGTAAAACTTTGATCCTCCATTGTGGCCCCACCCTATCCCCGGGGGTCATAATTTGAACAAATTTGAATCTACACTACCTGAGGATGCTTCCATATAAATATGACTCATCATGGCTTTGCTGTTTTTGAGAAGAAAATTTTTAAAGATTTTTCCTATATATTTCTATGTAAAACTTTGATCCTCCATTGTGGCCCCGCCCTACACCCGGGGGTCATGATTTGAACAAACTTGAATCTACACTACCTGAGGATGCTTCCATATAAATATGACTCATCATGGCTTTGCTGTTTTTGAGAAGAAAATTTTTAAAGATTTTTCCTATATATTTCTATGTAAAACTTTGATCCTCCATTGTGGCCCCGCCCTACACCCGGGGGTCATGATTTGTACAAACTTGAATCTACACTACTTGAGGATGCTTACATATAAATATGACTCATCGTGGCTTTGCTGTTCTTGAGAAGAAGATTTTTAAAGGTTTTTCCTATATATTGCTATGTAAAACTTCGATCCTCCATTGTGGCCCCACCCTACACCCGGGGGTCATAATTTGAACAAATTTGAATCTACACTACCTGAGGATGCTTCCATATAAATATAACTCATCATGGCTTTGCTGTTTTTGAGAAGAAGATTTTTAAAGATTTTTCCTGCATATTTCTATGTAAAACTTTGATCCTCCATTGTGGCCCCGCCCTACCCCCGGGGGTCATGATTTGAACAAACTTGAATCTACACTACCTGAGGATGCTTCCATATAAATATGACTCATCATGGCTTTGCTGTTCTTGAGAAGAAGATTTTTAAAGGTTTTTCCTATATATTGCTATGTAAAACTTTGATCCTCCATTATGGCCCCACCCTACCCCCGGGGGTCATGATTTGAACAAACTTTAATTTACACTACCTGAGGATGCTTACATATAGATATGACTTATCATGGCTTTGCTGTTCTTGAGAAGAAAATTTTTAAAGGTTTTTCCTATATATTGCTATGTAAATTTTTGATCCTCCATTGTGGCCCCGCCCTACCCCCGGGGGTCATGATTTGAACAAACTTGAATCTACACTACCTGAGGATGCTTCCACATGAGTTTCATCTTTCCTGGCCCTGTGGTTCTTGAGAAGAAGATTTTTAAAAGATGCTATGAATTTTTCACAAATTCTCTATTATCTCCCCTTGAAAGAGGGCGTGGCCCTTCATTTGAACAAATTTGAATCCCCTTCACCCATGGATGCTTTGTGGCAAGTTTGGTTGAAATTGGCCCAGTAGTTCTGGAGAAGAAGATGAAAATGTGAAAAGTTTACGACAACAACGCCAACGACAACAACAACGACGACAGACAACGGACAAATTTCGATCAGAAAAGCTCACTTGAGCCTTCGGCTCAGGTGAGCTAAAAAAAATTGTTGTCATGAAAATAATTATAAATATATTGAAACACAACCCTTTTGAACATTTTTACCGACACAGCTCAACAATGAAACGGGTCTATAGTTAGATATCAGGAAAACATAATTATTTACTTCTCAAAAGTATCATTTTCTCTGTAATTGATTGGATTTGAACTGTGAAAGTAAATATCTCTTTTTTTTGCAAATAGAATCTAAAATCTGACAAATACGATCTCTTCCGAAGATTTTTATGTAGCATTTCAGAGTACAGGCATAAATGCAATACTTTCCAAAACTTTGCACGGACAGTTTTTGTAGACCCATGATTTTTGCCGAAAAAATTGACATTTTTTGTGTGTGCTCATGCGTGGACTCTATATTTTCGGAGACTTTTTCAGTTTCAATTTCTTACTTCCGTTCACGCTGTATTTTGATTATTCAAACATGTAATTTAGCAGCATCATAAGGTATAAAACAATTCAAATATGTTCCTAACATCAGTTTTCTTGAAATTTTATGTATTTAGATGAACACTTACTTACTCCTGTGCGGCTTTAATATGTTCAAGCTCATTTGAAAATCGACATTTCTGCTCGGGCGGAAACATAAACAAAATACATATCAAGAAAACTCGTAACGGAAACATTTCAGGATCGGGGACTTTACACTATATTTGACTACCAATTGTTCCGTCTGCCTGATCAATACAAAAGGCAGATGTGACCTGTCGACGGTGCGTGCTAACTCATCAATACACGGTACATGCATAAATTTAGCAACATTTTCCTTAAAATTAAGAATCCTGGATTTTTCGCGCCAATTCTGTTTCTCACTGAGATGGTTCGTGCCACGCTGATTCTCTCCGTTTTCGGCGCGAAACATCTCGCTTTTTTTTCTTTTTTAAATTTCTTCACATTTTGATCCATTTTAAATCATTTATTAGTTATTCTCTCTGCAAAATTTCGCATACATACTCGGATGCGGCCATATCGAAATATAGACTTGAAGAGGAGGAAAACGTCAAAATAGGGGAATTCCGGAATATTAGACCGGTTTTGAACGTTATATATAAATGAAAGGGCACGTGAGTTGAGAAAATATTCCTATTTCACACACAGGGAAATCTTAACAGATAATTAATACAATTGATAAATGGTAATCGTGCGTTCCATTTTTTGCCGATTTTAAAGGGTCATAAATCGGTCTCAACGTACCCAGTTCTTTAAATATATGCAGTATGCTCAAATTCATGACTTTATAATAAGTATTGCCAAAGGTAACGGATCATTTTCCTGCTCTTGATGTACAAAACTTGAAGGAATTACGGTGACAACTGAAATATTACACCCAAAGAAAATTGCTTATAGAAAGGCAGACCGACGACTTTATTCACATTTTCACCCTTAGAAATAACTCCTTTTGTATGTAGTTTTGATAAATAATGATGTTTTTTGGGTTATTGATCACAAAAGATGTACAAAGAGTATGAATACAGTACTAACAGACAGGCATTTATAAAGACAGACACACCGATACCCCCCCCCCCCCCCCCCAAGTAATTACTCCTTCCCTTCTTCTAAACTAGCGATAGATTGAAAATTATAGGGATGAAACCCGTTAGGATATTGCATCGCAAGAGGGTTGACAGAAGGACAGACAGACGGACGATGTAATTTCTATAGGTTTCCCGCATTTATGAGGCCTTAATTAAACACAAATTTTTATACATATTCACTTATAGCCTGTTGTGGAAACGTCAGAGATCTTTATGCACTGTTCATCATTTTAAACTAAGCATATGAGTCGATACACAATTGGCATAGATTTATCAAACACATCTTGGACTAAGTTGCTTGTATGCAATATATGACCTTTTCCACATTTTCAGCAAAAGTTTGTTTTTTTCTTTAAGAATATTACATTTCTTAATCTTGTCTTCATATGTCATATTCTGTACCTATTTCAACCCTAAGGACAATAGGATCTTTGGATGTCATTTCATTTAATAACTAGGTCAAGGCACATTTCCAAGCACAAACTATATTTCAATTCTTACAATGTATTAGCCTCTGAAGTACCTTGATTGAATTTCATGTTTAGATTGATTGATTGATTGTATATTGTTTTACGTCCCATTCGAGAATTTTTCACTCATATAGAGACGTCCCCATATACCGGTGAAGGGCTTCAAATTTTGACCTTTACTCGGCATTCAGGGCCATTGAGCAGTGAGGGATCTTTATCGTGCCAACGCCTACCGTGACACGGGGCCTCGGTTTTTAAGGTCTCATCCGAAGGACCCGCAACTTTCACTTCAAAGTGCCGAGTGCATGGCGAGGGAACAGTTGCTACCTATTTTTTATCGACTTAGGTCTGTCGCGGCCGAGATTCGAACTCACGACCTCCCGATCACGAAGCGAGCGCTCTACCGACTGAGCTACCGTGAACGGTAATTTTATGTTTAGACAAGAATCCTTAAAAAAATTAGATTTGAAAAATTAGCCTGAAAATACCAGATGCTCAATTACATATGATATTCATTAATTCTACAAAGTTTAAAAAAATTAGTTGTTTACAGTAACCCAAATTTAGGTTACAAATGATTCTTTAATATTCTACATTGTATTTTACTAACACCTAATTTGTAGCATCTTCATTAGGCTTGAGCACTGTTTCAAATTCTTGCATATTTGATTTGATCCTTTCCCAAATTTCTTGCATTTTGACATTTTTAATAATAGCATCCTCATCTTCTTTTCTTAAGGTCAGTTTTTCAATGGAATTAAGATCATCCAAGTATTTCTTCCCAGTGAAGGTTTCCAATCTTTGGCAGATATCTGACATCATCGACCAGGTGTCGTCAAATTCTGCCTGAAGGGTGGAGGCTGAGCTCACGTGTGCAGCCAATCTATTTCGGATTAACCTAATTCTCTCGACATCATCACCCACTGTCACCTCTCCTGCTGCAGGCTCTTCTCCCCACTTTCCTTTTGCTGGTTTAGGGATCGTTGAACAAATGTTTCTTATCATCTTGTATGTTAATGAAATATCAAATTCCACATATCCAGAATTTTTTGCTTTTTTCAAAAGATCTTCTTGATCTGGGTTCAGCTTCAGATTCATCCTCTTTTTGTTTGATAATGAATTCACCTTGTTCTCAATATCAGATGGGGGAATTTCTGATTCTAGAATATCTCTGTATGCCTTATTTAAGACATCGTTTGTAGCCATTCCAAGTTTTGCAAATCGAGATCGGCCTCCTAGGTTTTGTCCAGAGGCCCCAGGAGTACTGGAATCACTTGCCTCTCTCTGAAACAAACCATAGTTATAGTGATGAACCCATCTTAATCTAAAAACTAAATGCTGAAAATAGCCAACGTTGTTTGAAACAGAATCAATCTTAGTTCATTTGATTAATCCAAATGTATTTAGCAAATGTATTTAGCAAAGCTAAACCTAGAGTTAGTAGAGTTTGTAAAAGTATTTAAAATTACATGATGACCATCTAAAACGGCCCTGTTGTAGGTCAAGTAAGGAAAATTAGGTTAATAAGATTTTAATTCACCATTAGATATCACTGAGTCTGTAAAACCCTTGGACCTAAACCATGAGCCAGTGGACTGTAAATTGCATAATTTTGGTAAAAGATTGAAAACTCATTTGACTCATTTAAACAGTTCGTCTACTGGGTGTACATCAGTAAAGAAGATATTTATTTTAACAAATATGCAATGAATGTAACAAACTTTGCAAAAATTTCACTGGATATTATAATCAAGCTAACAGTTTTCCTACTATTAACATGACTAAGATGTCCAGAGGAACACACAATTTTTGAAAACTGAATCAATTTTATTGGATCCACCCTCTGGATTTCACAATTTTTGTTCCGTTCTATCCATACATGTAATCTACCAAAACTGGTTCAGCAGTTCTTGAAAAGAGGCTGAACATGTTCAAAAGTTCACAGACAATGCTTAGTGATGTACAAAGGCAAATAGCAACAGGTTTGAGAGACTTGTTACCTAAAATATGGTTTGCTAAGAGACTTGGGGCATTAATCAATATCATTATTTATCCTTAGATTATCAGCAATCTAAGAATGAAGTATAGCTTACTATATTTCTCCATTAAAAGGTGGCGTCAAAGGTCAACCTCTAATTGTTCATTTTTTTGTTTGCCTGGGGATATAAAGATTAATAATTGTTACCTTTTCCCAGAATCCTAGAGTTCTTTGTACATTTATCACATGTTTCTCCCGAAGTTTACACTTGCACTGAATTTCTTTAGCCTTGATTTTGGAGAGCTCACTTGCAAGGGTAAAAGATATATCTTTCTCATTACAAATAATGTTTTGACATTTGTATCCTCTGTGGAATATTTTTGTGTCAATAAATGTTTCTGTCAGTTTTTCTATTGTTTTATCAACGGAATTTCCAATTTCATTCGATACTTCTTTGTCTACAGTTAATGGTTTGATTCTGAACACTTGCAACTGAATGTCATCATTGCATATGCCAATAACAACAGTGTGTGCATTGTGATCAAACACTGCCGCTGTTTGATAAAGACATGGACTTCCCTCATTATCTTCATCTTTTGCAACACTCCATCTTAGAAAACTCATGCAGTATGCTACCAGTCTGTAGAACACGAACATGGCAAAGGAAGTGAACCGAAAGCATAAAATGGAGGAGCATTCCCATTTATCTTCACAGAAGTCAGCTTTAAACTGCTTTTTGTTCATACATGGGACATACCATGACATGCCGCCTTCTGATACAGCCTCAAATGCATTCAAAGGTACCAGCATTTGAAGTTTCTCCATGTACGGCATAATTTCACTTTTGTGTTTCAAGTACGAGGGTTCATCTTTCCACAAAGCATCTATCACTTTATTTTTAAGTTCCCCTGTTTTGTTAAAGGATTTCCACTCTTTGATTAATTTCCTTTTACAATCTTTATTGATGTGGTTTTCATCAGCAATTACCTTACTAAAAGCATTAGCAAACCACTGAATGTCTAGAATAACATGTTTCCTCAATTCATCTTCTTCAAAATTCAAAAGAAGGCCATTATCATGGAAGCACTTTAAAAACTTAGACATTTCCTCCCCACTTTTGATTTGGTATTCATCGGGAAGAGATGAGTTGAGCTTCCAGATTTCACCCAGGGACAAAACCTTCCAGGATCCTTCATATAATAACTGCTCCATTAAAGCCCATGAAGAAGGCAATTCAATTTTTGTATTGTTCTCATCTGTAAATAGTTCCACTATGGACTTTTTCATTGACTCCAGCATTTCCTTGGTATTATCATTAAGTTCCCTCAGACCTACTGCATATTCCCGATCATTCAGAGACTCACTTAACCAATCTCTGTCCTCATCTGGTACAGCATTCCAGAACTCCCCAAAATACTTCTCTATTTCCTGAAGAAGTAAACAAAGCAAGCATGGAAATATTAATGTATAATTGTGTGCTATGATTTTAATACTGTAAATGCTAAATTGTGTGTTGATATTTGAAAATCCTGAGTTCATGTATTTTGGAATTAAAATTGGTAATTAGTTTAAACTGATTACAGATAAAACTGTAGATCTGGTATCCATTGTTAAATACCAATATCACTTTGGATGTAAAGCCATAAAAATGTAGCTTTTCTGAATGGAAAGATTTTAGTTATAACTTTTGTATGCTATGTGTATAAAATGCCTTCCTATATTGAAAACTCTAAGAAACTTTAAATTTATTTGAAATATTCAACATTCACAATAGAAACACTCAAAAAAAAGAAAGCCTCATTTTGATAACCTGGTTAATATTTGCATGGTTAGACCACTAACCCTCATTAATGATGTTACTTTTTACAGACATGTTTTGAATCCACCTGATACTACATATTTAGAGTTTTGAGTTTTTCCAAAATTCTTGCTTTTTAATAGCGATTCTCTGTAACCACTTAAACTTCTTTGCCACGCATGGTCACCGATTTTGATGAAACTTTGCCCATTATTACAACTTGACACCAGAAACATATATCAAATAAAATTTCGTTGCTATGTGTCTTGGTTGCCATGGTAACAGCCAGAAAAGTTGAAAAAATTGAGATTTTCAGCTACTTTGAATCTTTATTAAACCTTAATAAAGAATAAGAATAACAAACAAACCATTCTCCCCAAAACCTGACACCTTGTTGCCACTTATGCTATAAAAAACTATTTAGAATTTATCTCTAAGTAAGTGGTAACCATGGGCACATTTGGAATACATTTTAGATGCTGAAAAATGCAGAAAAACGCTCAATATTCACTAATGATAGGTGTTAAATGATCAAACTCAATCAACAACCTAAGAAAAAAACAATAAAAAATTTGACCTTAAGTAATTAGGTATTGGCAATATTATTCTAAAAATAACTTTCATGGTTGCCATGGTAACACAGTGTTACCATCCAAAATGTGTTGCTAAGATTGGGTTAATGCTACTATCTTCAGGAAAAACAATAAATTTCATGACTGGCACATATATATCCTTAGGACATTGCAACACCGTTGTTTAAAGTGATATTTTTTTTGCTGCCTTAGGAATTTACTTACCTTTTATTCAAGAAACATATTATTTGACTCACCTTGAATAGTAATTATCTGGTAAAACTAAAGTTGAATATCATATATTGATAACGTTTGTTGAAAAATACAACACTGTTGCTATGGTAACCAAGAAGGGAAAATGTTCGATTTTGTTAATTTTATATCAATATTAAACCCTATGTGCCAGCTTTTTGCATCCAGTTAGAGATTGGGTGGCAGTCAAAATTGAAAGTCAGTTTAGTTGTTCATAATTACCAATCATAAAACCTTTGGGAATCTACATACAAGGGTACGTATCCAAGGAAACAGAATATTTTTCAGATTTTTATGCATATTTTTCGGCTTATTTCCATTGCAACGCTCTACTTAAAGAATTGAATTTGCATTTTTTGAAATGTGAGAATTAGGGTCACATGAACATCTTTAAAAATTGATCATTAGTTATATAGAAATATGCTTTTTAAAAAGATAGGATTAGATTTAATCACTAAGAGAGTAAATTTAAAATCCCTTCTTGGTATTAAAACCATGGCAACCATTGCCAACCTATAAGAAATATCATATTTCTTCCATGGTATATGTTACAAGGATATTTTGTCTATTATTTGCTTGTATTTCAACCTATAATTTTTTTTATTCTTAAGTGTATGATGTTATAAAATTAAATGAGCAAAATTATTACTTTTGAATACTTTGTTTTCATAGTAACATATGTAATAGTTGATTTACCAAACATGTTTATCATGCATTTAAGACATCAGGCCTTCAACTTTCAGAAACAATCATTACCACTTGTTTGCTTTGCTGCAAACGTTAACTGTGGGACTCTGAACATGTTGAAAAATGCCATTTTTCAAACTTTCAGACATGTTGCCATGGTAACCAAGTCACGTAGCAACCAATTTTTGCCTGATTTGAGTTTACGGTATCAAAGACTTTTATCAAAGAGAGTTTGGAGAAATTCTGAGACTATGCCTGCCACAGCTTCTATATAAAAGTTCAAGTCGTTACAGAGAATGGCTCTTAAACACTAATTTTTTATCAATGCAAATTAAGTTATCTTAAAAACATGTCCTTTCTTGACATTGTATGCTCATCGTTAATCCTCAATGTTACAAGTATAATTAACTGGAACTATAGCTCTGAGGGGACAAAAATCGATCACTTTGTGTTACATGTACTCTTTAAAGGAATTCAAAGAGCTGCAATTGGTTGCTATCATATACAAAATCTACAGTAAAAAAAATGAGCTGTTAAGTTGTAGCATATTATCAGAACAACTGAATTCAAATTTAGATCATTACATCAATGATAAATCTTTATCATTTCCAAGAAGTGTTCTTCATAAAAGCGTATCAAGACTTGACACTACCATTACAATGAAAAGGAAAGAAAATTATCAAAAAACCTTTCGAGACTATAATAAACTAATCATTTGTTGAAAACAATATGTTGCATTTTAGTCATCTATGAAAAGGTTAAAAAAAAACGACAAGAACAAAAATACAAGAGGCTCTTGGGCAACAACGCTAACCTGAGCAACTTAGCCTTGCTGATCTCAAGAAGACTGAGATTCTTATATTATGACCTCATGTTATGGCCCCGTCCTAATCCAATGGGATCTCTGATTCTACACAACATTGTATTTTTTTCAATATCAATATGGCTAACATGACCTTATACATGAAGAAGAGAAGGACATTTTCCTGTATACATGTATTAAGTAAAGTTTTAACCAGATGGTTTCTCAAATGTTTTCTTGTATAGTCCAATGTAAAACTTCCCCATTGTGGTCTCATCCAATTCCTTAGGCCATGATTCAAGCAATTTAGAATCAACATTCTAAGGGTCCTCCACACCCAGTGACTTGAGACGTATGTCTAGAAAAATACTTTTACTTCTGGTTTTATATAGTTCTGACGTTTTGATTGGCATTAGCGTATTACTCAATTTGTTTGCACACACCATTGCAGTTATGAGACTATATCTTTCAAAAAATAATGATTCAATGCTTAAGTGACACCATATTCATAAACAATGAACACATGGCATGATCATGGCGTGGCTGAGAGAAAAATGTGAATATTTTCAATAAAAGAACTTGAGTTTTTGTAGCATAATAATAATTCGTAAATATTAGGTATATCTTCTTGAACACGTTTTAGTTTATTTATACTTTCGGGCTAATCAACCCATATAGATATTGTTCAAAGTCTGTTGTATTTAGTTAATACTTTTGCACACTGATCTGTGCATTTCAATAATACCTATCTCACTGTGTGTTTAACATTATTGATAAATAGTGTGCATTTCTAGTTTTACTCATTTATATCTGTCCAGTTCAGTAGCCAAATAATGAGTAACTTTGGTATGATGAAGTATGCTGATGCTAACCAAAGTTTTTGAGACCTGGGCTACAGGATAGATAACTGTAAAAAGGAACTTCTATTTCTCAGATTTTGAAAATAATTTTTCTTCATCAATTTTTTTAGATTCAACTTCTTATTGAAATTGAATTCATTAGAGGTTCTTCTACACAATCAGAAGTCTTTTCTAATTTTTTCTCTATGTATTTTAGAGAAAATGTGATTTTTTAAAAAATTTTTATAACTTTCATAAATTTCTTAACACAAGAGGCCATGGGCCACATCGCTCACCTGAGCACTGTGGCTAGAAAAAAAGCAAAAATCAGTTCAGTATTGAAAAGCTTACATGCATAAGTAGTCCCAACCTACCCCTAAAGGGGGGTGGGTGGGGGTGGGGGTATGATTTGAACAAAATTGAATCTACACTCAGGATGCTTACATATTTCTTTGACTAACTGTTGCTTCTTTTCCTACAAGATTAAACATTCATTGTGGTCCCACCCAAACCCCAGGGGTCATGATTTGATCAAACTTGAATCTTCACTATCTGAGGATCCTTCCATATAAAAATGACCAATCATGGTTTTGCTGTTCTTGAGAAAAAGATTTTTAAAGTTTTTTTCCTATATACTCCTATGTAAGACTGATCATCCATTGTGGCCCCATCCTACCCCGGGGGGTCATGAATTGAACAAACTTGAATCTACTACATGAGGATGCTCTCATATAAATATGACCAATCATGGCTTTGCTGTTCTTGAAAAGAAGATTTTTTGAAGATTTTTCCTATATAATCCTATGTAAAACTTTGATCATCCATTCTGGCCCCACCCAACCCCCGGGGGACATGATTTGAACAAATGAATCCATACCACCTGAGGGTGCTTCCATAAAAATATGACCAATCATGGCTTTGTTGTTCTTGAGAAGAAGATATTTGAAGATTTTTCCTATATACTCCTATGTAAAATTTGATCACCCATTGTGGCCTCACCCTACCCAGGGGTCATAATTTGAACAAATTTGAATCTACACTACCTGAGGATGCTCTCACATAAATATAACCAATCATGGCTTTGTTGTTCTTGATACTCAAGAAGTTTTTTAAATATTTTTCCTATATATTCCTATATAAAACTTTGATCGTCCATTGTGGCCCCACCCTACCCCCAGGGGTCATGATTTGAACAAACAAAATCTACACTAGCTGTGATATAGACACGGTGCGGCACAGCACAGAGGGAATTTTCTGGACATGGTTGGGCACCAGGTGCATTAGCTGGGATTTTTCTAGATACGTTGCAGCACAGTGTGCCTACCTGTGTATTTCAAATCCACACACACTGTGCTACACCATGTAACACAGAGCATTTCACACGGTGTGTTTTCCACCGTGCGACGGGGAAAACTCATGGCCTGTACTGTAGAAATGACTGTTATAAGTAATGCTCAGTAATATGAGAATACAAGCTGGGGGTGTGTGGAGAACCCTTAACTCTAATTAAGTTTTCATGTATTAATTCTATGTAAAACTTTGAACCCCGTTTGCGGCCTCGTTCCACCCCAGGGGCGCAGGATTTAAAAAAAAATAAATAGAACCTATATGATGTCAGGAAACCTGGATAGAAACCAATTAATTTTGTAAAGACTAAAACCAATCTTCTTCCGTTAAAGTCTTAAAATATTTTCTTTTGTTTTCCTGAAGTATAGCTGTACTTGTGCTTTCTCTAGATATGTGAATCTATTTTTTTTGGTAATTCACATTTCTATAAGCTTGAATACTTACATCTGTAGATTTTGTTTCCGTGTGTGTGGCAACAAGAAACAGTGGAGCCTTTTTACCTCCAAATGTCTTGATTGAAGTAATCCAAAACTTCAAGTAGTCTATAAGAAAAAAAAAGAGAATAAATATAGCATCACACTAGAAAAAAAAGGCAGGTCTATAAGTCTGTTTATCTGTCTGTCCCTCTTTAAAATTTTAACATTTTCAACTTCTTTAGTACCACTGTGGAAATACTAACTAAGTTTGCAAAAAGCATCTTTTAGTTAAGAATTTTTATTTTCTAAAAAGGGCCAAGAATCCTTTCAAGGGGAAATTAATAAAGGCAAGACTCGGGTCATTGTTCCAGAAAAATGAAAATTGTTTGAAAGTTTCTTGAGGTAGTCGCTAATGTAGATTCTAAATTCTCCACATTTTGAACTTTTCATGTTGCATGAATAATATAGGAATGAGAACTTGGCTATCATTAGTTTGTTTGTTGATGTTTGCTTCCCTCTTGAGAATTTTTCACTCATATGGAGAGGCCACCACTGTCTGGACAGCTGCAAATTTAGACCTAAACTAGGCACACAGGACCAGTGAGCAGTGATTTTTTTTGTGTTAGCACATACTGCGACATGGGACCTCTGTTTATAGGGTCTCATCAAACATCCTGCAGGATGATTCGATTCCCCGGGTTTAATTCCCTACTCCACGACTCTGGAGCAACTGTTTGCTACACAGGTGATCTTGACATATTGTTAATTAAACAAGAGGCCCATGGGTCTTATAGGTCACCTGAGTATCATGTAAAAACTATCCAACAATTGAATTTAAACAAGAAGCAATGAAATTCACAATTTTGAAAGAGGCACCATTGCTCATCATAACTATACCCTTAGCATGCTTAGTTTGACTACTTAAAACCCAGTGGCAGAGCAAAGGAACAAAGAAAAATGCATTTTCCACTATATAATCAGTAGTGCCACACCCCACAGGAACCCTGCACCTGGAGCCACACATTTCACAATATTGGAAAAGGCACCCTTCCTCTTCATAAATGTTTGATTAATACCAAAGAAGATATTTCAAAGCATTAATTCATTTTCAGTATATAATCATAACCCCCTCCCCCACTGGTACCCTGATCCAAGGGCCTTGAAATTCATAATTCTAAAATAAGCACCCTTGCTCATCACAACTATACATTCAGATCATCGGCATAATACCCAGGAGCAGAGGAGAAGATTTTCAAAGAATGAACACATTTTCACTATATAATCAATAGAGCCCCATCCTAACACCAAAACCCCTGACCCAGGGACCATGAAATTCACAATTTTGGAAGAGGCATCCTTCCTCATCATAACTATGTATATAGTTATTGGCTTGATACCCAGGAGCAGAGGAGAAGATTTTCAAAGAACTAATGTCTTTCACTATATAATTATTAGAGCCCTGCCTTAACATCAGAACCCCTGACCTAGGGGCTATGAAATTCACAATTTTAGAAGAGGCACTTTTGCTCATCATAACTATGCATTTAGTTTGTTTGCTTAATACCCAGGAGCAAAGAAGAAGATTTTTAAAGAAATAATGCATTTTCACTATATATTCAACAGAGCAACACCCAAGCACAAGAATCCCTGACTTTGGGGTCATGAATTTCACAATTTTGGATGGGGGCTCAATGCTTATTACAATCATGCTAACAGTTTGGCTGCTTGATGTCTAGGAGTAAAGAAGAAGATTTTTAAAGATTGCACTAATTTTGATGGTATTAACCACACATCTCAGGCCTCAAGGGGGCAGGGGCCATGAATTTCATAAATTTTGTTCCTTTTTACCTATTGATGCTATATGCCAAAATTGGTTGAAATTGGTTCAGCGGTTTCAGAGAAGAAGCTGAAAATGTTTAAATGTTAACGCACGAGGGACGACGCACAACTATGGATGAAAACAGATAGCAATAGGTCACATGAGTAAACTCAGGTGACCTAAAAAGAGTGTGAACAACAAGAGGCCCATGGGTCACATCACTCATCTGAGAACGGTGGCTTGAAAAAAGCAGAAATCAGTTCAGTATTTAACAGTTTAAATATAAAAAGGGGTTGGGGTATGATTTGAACTAACTTGAATCTGCACTTCCTAAGGATGCTTGAAATAATATCACACATAATGACTTTGCTGTTTTTAAGAAGAACATTTTTTTACAGATATCTCCTTGATATTCCTTTGTATACCTATCATCCCCTGTTATGGCCTCTCTATTCTACTGGGAGGGTGGTCATGATTAAACAAATCTGAAACTACATTACATGGTGCTTTTATATTATTATGACCAATCATGGCTTTGTTGTTCTTGAAAAGAATTTTAAAGATCTTTCCTATGTATTCTTAAGAAAAAAAAGTTATCACCCAATGTGGCCCCACCCTACCCCCGGGGGTCATGATTTGAACAAACTTGATTCTTCAATAGCTGGGGATTCTTCCATTTAAATTTGTCTAGTCATGACTTTGCTGTTCTTGAGAAGAAGATTTTTTAAGAGTTTTCCTATGTATCCCTAAGCAAAACTTTGATTGCCCATCATGGCCCCACCAGACCCCTGGTTGTTATGATTTGAACAAACTTGAGTCTACACTACATATAAATATCACCAATCATGGCTTTGCTGTTCTTGAGAAGAAGATTTTTAAAGAGTTTTCTATTGTATTCCTATGTAAAACTTTGATCGTCTATTGTAGCCCCGCCCTACCGCCCTACCCCCGGGGGTCTTAATCTAAACTACCTGAAGATGTTTCCACCTAAGTTTCATCTTTCTTGACCCAGTGGTTCTGGTGTAGAAGATTTTCCTACTTATTCCTATAAATGTAAAATCTTGATTGCCCATTTTGGACCCATACTACCTGTGGGGGTCATGATTTGAACACACTTGAATCTACCTAGTGAGAATGTTTCCACATTATTTTCATTTTTTCCTGGCCCAAAGGTTCTAGTGTAGAAAATTTTTGAAGATTTTTCCTATGTAAAAACAAGATGTGTTTGTGAAACACTGATGCCCCCGTATGGCAGCTCATGGCAAAGGTTAAAGTTTCTCAAATGCAAGTCAAAATCCAGACCAAAAGATAAAAAATGTTAAATTTGAAAGCCCTAGCTGCAACTGTTCAAAAGTTATGGCCAAGGTTAAAGTTTTTTAAAAGTAAGTAAAACATCAAGGTCAAGGTCAAAGTTGTTGGTATCCAAAGGAAGGTCTTGTCACAAGAATTACATATGTAAAGTATGAAAGCCCTAGCATCAACCATTCAAAAGTTATGGCCAAGGTTAAAGTTTTTCGAAAGTAGGTCAAACTCCTATGTCAAGGTCAAAGGGTCAAAGTGGTTGGTATCCAAAGGAAGGTCTTGTCACAAGAATTAAATATGTAAAGTATGAAAGCCCTAGCATCAACCATTCAAAAGTTATGGCCAAGGTTAAAGTTTTTCGAAAGTAGGTCAAACTCCTATGTCAAGGTCAAAGGGTCAAAGTGGTTGGTATCCAAAGGAAGGTCTTGTCACAAGAATTAAATATGTAAAGTATGAAAGCCCTAGCATCAACCATTCAAAAGTTATGGCCAAGGTTAAAGTTTTTCGAAAGTAGGTCAAACTCCTATGTCAAGGTCAAAGGGTCAAAGTGGTTGGTATCCAAAGGAAGGTCTTGTCACAAGAATTACATATGTAAAGTATGAAAGCCCTAGCATCAACCATTCAAAAATTATGGCCAAGGTTAAAGTTTTTCAAAAGTAGGTCAAACTCCTATGTCAAGGTCAAAGGGTCAAATTGGTTGGTATTCAAAGGAAGGTGATGTCACAAGGATTACATATGTGAAGTATGAAAGCCCTAGCATCAACGAATCAAAAGTTATGGCCAAGGTTAAAGTTTTTCAAAAGTAGGTCAAACTCCTAGGTCAAGGTCAAAGGGTCACAGAAGTTGATATCCAGGGGAAGGTCTTGTCACATGGAATACACATGTGAAGTTTGAAACCCCAAGCAGCAACTGTTCAGAAGTTATGGCCAAGATTAAAGTCTCATAAAATTTTGCAAAAGTGGGTCAAACTCCAAGGTCAAGGTCAAAAGGTCAAATATGATGGTACCCAAAGAAAGGTCGTGTCACAAGGAATACACATGTGAAATATGAAAGTCATAGCTTCAACCAATCAAAAGTTATGGGCAAGGTTAAAGTTGACAACAGACAGACAGACAAACAGATAAACAGACAAACAGACAAACAGGACAAAAACAATATACCCCCAGGATCTTTCGATCCCAGGGCATAAAAATGATTGTCCATTGTGGCCCCTTCCTAACCTGGGGGTCATGATATGAACAAACCGAATCTACATCACTTCCCGAGGATGCTTCCACATAAGTTTCGTCTTTCCTGGCTCAGTGGTTCTGGAGAAGATTTTTAACAAGATGTGTTTGTGAAACACTGATGCCCCCGTATGGCAGCTTGTGGCGAAGGTTAAAGTTTCTTCAAATGCAAGTGAAAATCCAGGCCAAAAGATAAGAAATGTTGATACCCAAAGAAAGGTCTTGTCTCGAGGAATACATCTATGAAATTTGAAAGACCTAGATACAACTGTTCAGACGTTATGGCCAAGGTTAAAGTTTTTTGAATAAAAGTCAAACGTCAAGGTCAAGGTCAAAGTGGTTGGTATCCAAAGGAAGATCTTGTCACAAGGATTACATATGTGAAGTATGAAAGCCCTAGCACCAACGATTCAAAAGTTATGGCCAAGGTTAAAGTTTTTCAAAAGTAGGTCAAACTCCTAGGTCAAGGTCAAAGGGTCAAATAGGTTGGTATCCAAAGGAAGGTCTTGTCGCAAGGATTACATATGTGAAGTATGAAAGCCCTAGCTCCAATCATTCAAAAGTTATGGCCAAGGTTAAAGTTTTTCAAAAGTAGGTCAAACTCCTAGGTCAAGGTCAAAGGGTCAAAGTGGTTGATATCCAGAGGAAGGTCTTGTCACAAGGAATACACATGTGAAGTTTGAAACCCTAAGCACCAACTGTTCAAAAGTTATGGCCAAGGTTAAAGTTTTTCAAAAGTAGGTCAAACTCCAAGGTCAAAAGGTCAAAGTTGTTGGTATCCAAAGGAAGGCCTTCTCACAAAGAATACACATGTGAAGTTTGAAACCCCAAGCACCAACTGTTCAGAAGTTATGGCTAAGGTTAAAGTCTCATAAAATTTTGCAAAAGTAGGTCAAACTCCAAGGTCAAGGTCAAAAGGTCAAATATGATGGTACCCAAAGAAAGGTCTTGTCACAAGGAATACACATGTGAAATATGAAAGTCATAGCTCCAACCAATCAAAAGTTATGGGCAAGGTTAAAGTTGACAACAGACAGACAGACAAACAGACAAACGGACAAACAGACAAACAGATAAACAGGCAAACAGACAGACAGGACAAAAACAATATACCCCCGGGATCTTTCGATCCAGGGGCATAAAAAGTGCCATAAGTTTTCATTAATTTGTAATTATCTCCCCTTGGAAGAAGACAAGGCCCTTCATTTGAACAACTTTGAATCTCCTTGACTCACAAACACTTTGTGGCAAGTTTGGTTGAAATTGGCTCAGTGGTTCTTGAGAGGAAGATGATATTGTAAAAAGTTTACAATGACGACAACAACAACAATTACAGACAACAGAAACATTTCAATCAAAAAAGCTCACTTGAACCTTCAGCTCAGGTGGGCTAATAATGTCATACATTATGCCCTAACATATAACTCCTAAATGTTGGAATATGACTCCACATTCATTATTGGAAGAATTGATGCATGTCTGATCGAAATTAAACTACAACTGTCGAAGTTTGTAGCTTTTAGACAATCCAAGAATTACCAGTAAACAAATAAACCCTAGCTTTGCGGAATTAGATACACCATCCCAAATTCAATTAATATAAATCCCAATTTTAGATAAATCCTAAAGAATGACGTGTCTTTGAATATTTCGATCTATTAGACAAAATGAAAACTGGAAGTTTGTCATTGGTTATAAAACTACAATAAGTTGCATAATAGTTTTACCTTGTAAAAAATAAAATCTGACATATTACATGTTTCATACCTTTGTATGTCCACACGGAGAAGATTGATCCTTCTTGATTGTCTTTCTCTTTATCGACAACATCTTCAAATCTCTTAGTCATGTCCAAGACAAGGATGAAGAAGGCTTTTGGTGTTACGTAAATTTGGTGACAGGCATAATACGCTAACTGGCCAGCAAAATCCAGCATGCTTACTGTTGGTAACTTCTCTTTTTCAGATAAGATTTTCCGAAAAATTTCATCTTTCACCATTGCTGGAGCTTCTGAGGAGAGAAGACTGACCATTACCTCTACTGTATTCTCTTCTTCTGTGCCCTCAGTTGGTGAAGAAGACATTTCCACATTCTCTTCTTTCTTTTCTTCTCGGCTATAAACTACTTCAGTGTTTTTATCAGTACTTCCTAGTTCTTCTTTTCCATTTGTATCGGAGGTGTCAACTGCACTGCTTGGGTCTGGTTTCAAATCTGCAGCGTTTATCCTGATAAATGTCTTCAATGGTGAGTCATCATCAGCCACTGTAAAAGAGGAAAGTCGTTATTTAGTACTGTTTTCATTTTGAACACGCATCATAGAGTAATTATATATCTCTTTTATCACAATTCAGGATTGACAACAAACATTCTACTGATCATATTATATCTTGTGTCTGTACATCTGTATTCATTATTTAAACAATAAAATTCTTCATTAAATGATTAAACAATTCCTTGGTCTCTGATTGAAGTTTGATGAACATGATGAAAATATCTTGAATAGTTTCTTTAAAACTGAATTTAATACACAATAAATAGTAAAGTCAAAGTCATTCAGAAGGTCAAGGTAAAATAAAAACAAGAGGCCACAATGCTCATCTGAGTAACTCTGGCCCTGCTGATCTTCACCAGATTTTCACCCTTGTAATACTTATTGTGGCCCCAACCTACCCCAGGGGGTCATGAATTCAACAATTTAGAATCTACACTACCCCAAAAAGCTTCTACATAAGATTCTGCTTTTCTGGCCCAGTGGTTCTGGAGAAGAAGACTTTTAAAGATTTTTCCATTTTATTTCAATGTAAAACTTTGATTCCCTATTGTGACCCCAACCTATTCCATGGGTCAAGATTTGAAAAATTTAGAATCTACACTATCCAGCTTTTCAGCTTTTCTGGCCCAGTGATTCTTGAGAAGAAATTTTTTTAAGGACCCACCCTATTTTTGTCTTCTCTTAATTATCTCTCCTTGTAAGGGGGATCGGCATTTTTTTTTTAATAATTTAAACTCAACTTCACCAAAGGATGCACTGTAGCAACTTTGGTTAAAATTGGCCTAGTGGTTTTCAAGAGGAAGTTAAAAATGTGAAAATTTTACTGATGGACGGATGGACAGCTGACAGATGACGGGCAACAGGTGATCAGAAAAGCTAACTTGAGCTTTCAGCTCAGGTGGGCTAAAAATTGGACACTGTCGATAAACTTTCACCAAAAAATGCATCAGTGCATAAGCTTACATAACAAGAGGCCCATGGACCATAATGCTCACATGAGTCAATATGGCCCTGTTGCTCTTTATCAGCAGATTTTTTCTATTATATATTCCTATGTAAAACCTTTATCCCTATTGTTATCCCACCCTACCCCCCAGTGTAAAGATTTTTATAGATTAGCCCCACCCTACCCCCTCAGGGTCATATTTTGAACTAACTTGAATCAACACTACCTCAAGATACTTCCATATCAATGTGACTAACCATGGCTTTGCTGTTCTTGAGAAAAATATTTCAGAGAATTTTTTGTATACATCCATATGTTAAACTCCGATAGTGCATTGTGGCCCTACCCCAGGGGGTCATCATTTGAACAACCTTGAATCTAAACTTCCTGAGAATGTTTTCATATCAATATGACTAAACATGGCTTTACTGTTCTTAATTTTTTTTTCCCCTATGTATTCCTATGTAAAACTTTGATCCCTCATTTTTGCCCCACCCTAAATCTGGGGGGTCATGATATGACGAATCTATGCTATGTAAAGAAGGTTTCATATAAGTTTCAATTTTTTTGGCCCAGTGGTTCTTGAGAAGAAGATTTTTAAAAGATTCCACTAAATTTCCACTAATTCTTAATTATCTCCCCTTGAAAGAGGATGTGGCCCTTCATTTGAACAAATTTGAATCCCCTTCACCCAAGGATCCTTTGTGGCAAGTCTGGTTCAAATTGGCCCAGCGGTTCTGGAGAAGTCGAAAACATGAAAAGATTACAGACGACAGGGCGGACAGACAGACAGATGGACGACGGACAAAATGTTATCAGAAAAGCTCACTTGTGCTTTTAGCTCAGGTGAGCTAAAAAATATTTGGAAAAATTTCTTTAAAACTGAGCTAAACACAAAATTGAGAAAAGTGATGTCAAGGTCAAAGGAAAGGTCAAGGTAAAAATGTTGATGCACTACAATAGTTCTACATTATACGTATCAAAATATGAAGTTTGATGAAATATCTTTGTTTCCTTGAAACTAAGCTAACAAATTGAGAAAAATGAGGTCAAGGTAAATTGAAAGGCCAAGGTCAAAAACCTTGATGCAATTGAATAACTCTCACCAATATAAGCATACGAAGTTTGATAAAGCAAGAGATGTTTGTGAAACACTCCCCCCCCCCCCCCCCCCCCCGACATATATACTAACATAGGACTTGACCTAGATATTCTTATGATTAATCTGTATACCAAATTTCATTTCAGTTTGTGCAACCTCTGCTAAGAAAATGAACGGAAATGGTTGGTGGACCAAAAGACAGAAAGACCGACAGACAGAAAGCAGCAAAGCACTATGCCCTCCCTTCTTCGAAGGGGGGCATAAATATCTTGAATACCTTCTTTGAAATTTAGCCAAACACAAATTTGAGGTCAACCTCACCTGAGCCAAAAACTCAGTGGGCTTTTCTGATGGAAAAGTGGTCTGCGTCTGTCATTGTCCTATGAATATGTATCAGAAATTATTTTTACCTTCCAGAATTCCATCTCTAACAATGAAGAGATGTTGATAGACTTCCAGTCCCCTGGTGGACTCTATAACTTTGCTGACATTTTGGAGTTGCCCTTGTAATTGCTTCAGCAGTGTTGTTTTTCCAGCTTCAGCACATCCAACAAGTATTCCTCTGGCATGGGAAACAGTTGTCTTCTCCTTCCTCAGAAACTTCTTTAACTCATCAACTTTATTTAAATCATCACTGCCTGGATCTAAACAAAAACATGTTCTTAGAATAGATATCCAGAACACATGCATTAAGCAGAATTTGAAATTTGGTGTTAACGCACAAGGTAATGATGTAGGTATTTCAGAAAAAATATGTTATTCTATTATTTTCAAATCTTATTTTTCTAAATCAGTTCCACAATATTATCTGTTTATTTTTGTTGATTTGGTCATATGATTTACCTCATGAGCTAAGAACAAGGTATGAAATTAAACATTTACTTCAATTTCATTTTAACTTGAAAGTGAAATGATGCAGTCATAGAAAATAGATCATTCACATACATTTTTGGTATTTCAATATATTTATTTCTTTTGTAGAAAATAAGAAATTCCTGTGTCTAAATGTCTACTATAGAAAATACTATTTATGTAGCAGAAAAAAACATTATTATTTTTTTAGTCATGAAATAAGAAATTTCACTATCCATAATCTAACAAACCTTCAGAAGTTTTAATAACAATAAACCATTGTCCAAGAACATAAAAATGTTTATAACAACAAGTTGACACTAATAAACACGATAAAGGTGAGGAGAGAAAACAGTGATTTATGTCATATTTTTGACCCCTAGATCATTCTTATGGTCGACGTAGCACGATACTTGGAACTATTCAATTTCACTGAATATGAGCCAACCCGAAATTGTACACCTTATTTTCCATGATTTTAAAAGAAAATTGAAATTATTTTTCATTGGTTCTTGAGGAAGTTATAAATTTACTTTTCAACATAACAAATACAGAACAAAAAGGTTTGTACATTAAACAAGAGGCCCAAGGGCCACAATGCTAACCTGAGTAACTTTGGCCTTGCTGTTTTTCACCTGATTTCCCCCCTTGTAGTACTTATTGGGGCCCCACCCTACCCCCAGGGGTCATGATTTGAACAATTTAGAATCTACACTACCCCAGAATGCTTCCACGTAAGTTTCAACTTTTCTGGCCCTGTGGTTTTAGAGAAGAAGATTTTTAAAGATTTTTTCGACATATTTCAATGTAACACTTGGATTCCCTACTGTGGCCACGCCCTACCCCCAGGGGTCATGATTTGAACAATTTAAAAACTACACTACCCCAGGATGCTTCCACATAGGTTTCAGTTTTTCTAGCCCTGTGGTTCTCGAGGAGAAGATTTTTAAAGATTTTTTTGATATATTTCAATGTAAAACTTGGATTCCCTAATGTGGCCCCGCCATACCCTTGGGGGTCATGATTTAAACAATTTAGAATCTACACTTCCCCAGGATGCTTCCACATAAGTTTCAGTTTTTCTGGCCCTGTGGTTCTTGAGAAGATTTTTTAAAGATTTTTTCTACACATTTCAATGTAAACCTTGGATTCCCTATTGTAGCCCCGCCCTACCCCCAGGGGTCATGATTTGAACACTTAACAATCTACACTTCCAAAGGATGCTTCCACATAAGTTTCAGCCTTTCTGGCCCGGTGGTTCATGAGAAGAAGATTTTTAAATATTTTTTCGACATATTTCCATGTAAAACTTGAATTCCCTATTGTGGTTCGCCCTACCCCCAGAGGTCATGATTTGAACAATTTAGAATCTACACTACCCCAATATGCTTCCATTTAAGTTTCAGCTTTTCTGGCCCAGTGGTTCTTGAGAAGATTTTTTAATGACCCCACCCTATTTTTGTCTTTTCTTGATTATCTCCCCTTGGAAGGGGGCTTGGCTCTTCATTTCAACAATTTACCCCCCCCCCCCCTGCACCCAAGGATGCTTTGTACCAAGTTTGGTTAAAATTGGCCCAGTGGTTCTTGAGAAGTTGAAAATGTGAAAAGTTTACAGACAGACTGACAGCTAGAAGGAAGGACGACGGACAACGGTGATCAGAAAAGCTCAGGTGAGCTAAAGAGTTCTGAAAGAAAATGATTAAGTAGCATGATATAGTGAAACACCCTCCCCCCACCCTTCCCTGAAAAAAAATTCTTGTGTGTGTTTGGGGGGGGGGGGGGGGAGGGGGAGGTAGGCTGATGTGACTCTATAATTCTGACTTTGGTTTCACTTTTAATCTGTAAGAATTCCATGTAATATACATGTAAAATGTCAACCCAGTACACAGTGTAGATTTACTGAACACCTGTTATAGAAATACACAACATTCCTAGACAGAGCTGTGTTAATATCAATGGTGTCTATATCTAACTGTCAACATTGTACAAAATGTTTGTAGTCAATGTGATGGAATTTTGTTTGAATGGAGTATTGAAAGAACCATATATATATCAACTATTGATAAGAACTAGGACATTGCCCCCTCCAAACTCCCCTAATTCCCCCCCCCCCCACACACACACACACACATACACACCACACCCATTTTACAATCATTTTTTCCATTTCATGACATTTTTAGTGACCTATTAAGTTAACCTGCAAACCACCCAATGTATTCATTTCCTGACTTAAGCAGAGGACTATAAAATCATGTCCACCCAAATAAAAGACAGGACCAATGAGAGTTAAACAACAAATCATTAACCAGTCAGGGAACTTAACACTCTATACTACATTATACAAGATGTAGGACAGAAGCTATGTCAAGTCTTATCTGTACAAAATCTGGAGTAGTTTGTTAAAGACGACAGAGTTAACAACTAAACTAAGTACATATTTAAGGAATCACTGTCTAGTTAGTAGAGTATGCCCGGGCATCAACGATAGTTTTATGCATAAATTATCCTACATTTCCAACTATTGTTGATGTCTCTGGCATACTCTACTAACTAGACAGTGGTTCCTTATATTTCCATTTCATTGTGAAATAAAATTGTAAATTTAGATTTTAAAAATGTAGACTAATAAATTTAAATTACACGAGGCCTCACATGTCAATTTCAATATTCCCCGCTCACTGACGTCAAACACAAAGACAGCCGCACGAGAATTACATGCATATTAGGCCTTCTTAGCTCCTGACCTTTCGCTTGGTGAAATTTGCATTCCGTTAGAATGATCAAGAAATCAACTCCACTAACTTTCAAAGAGTTATCACAGAGAAAACAAATAGAAATGGAAATATATTGAAATAACCCTAATTAAATCTTAAACATATTATCTGAAAGTTATATAGTTATTAATTACAACTTATAAATTAATATCCTTATCTTAAAAACATTTCTTGTGACTTAATGCAACAAGTTAGAATTCAATTAACCATGTCATGTAATTACACATAAAACTATCTGTTTGATTATTCCTTAATGTCTTATAATTACAAATAAAACAATGACTATAATATATTGTATACACTAAACATTTTACAACAAAACATATAATTATACTATTGTATTACTTACCAGTCAGATTATCCCCTCCATTGATAAGTCTGTATATGTACACTGTGTTGTTATACCCAGATCCGACCCAGAGAAGGTTAGTGATGTCATCATAACTCAGGCTCCATGGTGAGTCTATCCCGTGTTCTGATGTCTGTATCACTGACAGGAATTGTCCGTCTTTATCAATCATCTGTACTGAGCGGGTTCTATAATCACACACCAGGATGTGTGACAGTGCGTCAGTACAGATTCCACGTGGTGATAGTCGTGATCCTGATGGAGGTCCTGTGTAGGAGAAGCGATGTCTCCCTACACCATCTGTCACCACTACAGCATCACGGCCAATGTCAGACACAATAACATCTCCATTGCGGTTCTCTGTGATGTAGAGAGGTTCTCTATACAGTCCCTGACCTGTGTTGTTGTCGTACTGTATGGTCTGTATGTGTTGTCCTGTGTTATTGTAACGGTTTACCTTGCCTGTCTTTGTATCATATTTATACATCACGACCAGCAGGTCTCCAGTGGAGGGGGAGCTGTAGACGCTCACTGGTATCCATGGTGCTGTGTTGTACTTTATTAATGTAGTCTGTACTGTGTGATCTGTAGACAGTTTGTTGATATTATACTCCCTGTCTATATAAATTAAATCACCGTCTCTAGTCACTGTGTGTACTCCATAATCACTATCTATATCTGTCAGATGATGTAGTTTATCACCTGCTGTGTTTGTCAAGATGAGATTGCCTATATAATCACTGATCCAGACCCGGTCTGACGATACACGGGTAATGTGACTACCACACCTAACACCTGTCACTCTGACAGATTTCTGCAACACTACTCTATACATCATTGACAGCAGACATTTATTTCATCTTTATCCTGTGGTTTTATAACAGAATCCCGTGTTGATTTCCTCAGTCAGGGAGATTTCTCTGTAAATTACAACATTGTGTTAGAATTATTGACATCAATAACAAGTCTCTCTTTATAAAATACTCATGTAAAAATGTTTTGGTTTAAAGAATTTATAGAATAGAATAGAATTAAGTCCCAGATAAACCTAAATACCTTTACACTGGGTGCTGAGTGATTACTATGTTTCAATGAGTAGCAGCCTCCAAGTGTCCTCAATCAAACCTGTCTAACAAAGCAATATAAATTACAAATTAAAACCACATCAATTGTGCAATACTGGAAAACTTTTCAGATTCTCATAGATGACATTCTATGACGTTGTATTTACAATATAGTGTGTAAACTTTATAATTTACAAAAGAATAATCATGATTAATACTGCTTTCTTACAAATACTAATTCATAAGTTATAACATTAAAACAGGGTAAGATAGAGATGTTCTACTATAACACTCTATAGATAGGTATGATTACAGTGTGTTTTCACACAGTTATATAAACTAATAAAGTAACAGAGAAATGTATACCACACTGATTTCTTGTATCTGGTAATTTTTCTTCTCGTGTCTGTGTTCTGGGCAAAGAAAACAAAGAAAATTATCATATATCACGTCTATAAAAAAGTTCATACTTTATTTATCTTATTTTATTCAATCATGACAAAATTGTGTCTACTATTTGAAATAACAATTTAAATCTTTATAGCTTTAATCCATTGTTTGCTTTACCTTGATTGTTTTTAGCCATTCTTAAAAAAACAAGAGGCCCAAAGTCCTTAACGGTCACCTGAGTATAATACAACAATTTAGAAGTTAAATACACTGATAGATGAGGCTTTGTTGTCCTAAAGCAAGAGAAGTAGGAAGATCAGGACCAACAAAATAATTAGTCTAGTATTCAGTATCATCTCATAAATTAAGTTCGAATCTGTCCCCCACTTAACACTATCACCATGCAAACTATTAACAAACTATTAGTGCTTCTGTACTATTTTCAAACCCATATAATTAAGACCTCTAACATTGACCCCAGAATGCTTAACCATTAACCAAATGGTCCAAATGTTCAAAAATCTGGTAAAAATACCCTTACTTATATTATATCATTAAAACTTTTACTCAGTTTGCTTCCGATATGCCCGGAAGCAGAGAAGAATTTTTACAGGTACAATGCATTTTCACTATAGATTCAACAAAGCCTTACCCTAGCACCAGGCTCCGGGGCCATAAAACGTAGACGAGCTCACTTTTGATCTCAGTCTCACTTTTACCAAAGGAATTAATAGTAGAAAAGTGAGACTGAGATCGAATGTGAGCTCAAGACCAAGGGTCAAGAAATTCACAAATTTGGAAGAGTTACCCTCATCATCACAACTATGGACTTCAAAGTATTAACACTTTTCCACTATATTATCAAAAGCCCCCCCCCCCCCCCCCGTTATGCCAAAACCCCTGACCCTAGGACCATAAGATTTAAGAATTCTGTTGGAAGCTCCCTTTTTCATCATAGCTAAGCAATTTATTTATCAGCTCAACACTAAGGAGCAGACAGGATTAATTAACAATTAATCAATAGAATTAATGCTTTTCACTATATAATTAATAGAGCCCCCCACCCCTCTTCCATAAGAACCCTCAAACCTGAGGCCATACATTTCAAATTTTGGAAGAGGCATCCTTGCCTATCATAATCATGGACTTAGTTTGTTTAAATAATCTCCAGTAGCAGAGAAGAAGATTTTCAAAGAATCAATGCATTTTCACTATATAATCAATAGAGCCCCACCCTAACACCAGAACCCCTGATCCAGGGGCCATGAATTTCATAATTTTGGAAGAGGCACTCTTGCTCTTCATAACTATGTAGTTAGTTACTTTATTTAATGCCCAGGAGAAGAGAAGAAGATTTTCAAAGAAATAATGCACTTTCACTATATGATCTATATAGCCCCACCCTAGCACCAGAACTCCTGACCCTGGAGCCATGAATTTCACAATTTTGGTAGAGGGCTCAATGCTCATTACAATCATGCCAACAGTTTGACTGCTGGATGTCCTGGAGTAAAGAAGAAGATTTTTAAAGATTGCATTATTTTTGGTGGTTTTTGGTGGCCCCACCCTTGGGGCAGGGACCCTGATATTCACAATTTTTGTTCCCCTTCACCCATAGATGCTATATGCAAAATTTAGTTGAAATTGGTCAAGCGGTTCAGAGAAGAAGCTAAAAATGTTCAAATGTTAACACACGACGCACACCGACGGACAAAAACGGATAGCAATAGGTCACCTGAGTGACTCAGGTGACCTAATAACTAAATGTACTGAATGCATTTACTTTATAGTTTATGAACTTATGAACTTTTTCATGTGAAGAAAATTAAGAAAACCTGTCAGGGGGTGATTTTTTTCGTCCTCTTAATAACTGCTCAACACATCCTGTGAAATCTGTCAAAAGAAAATTCAGAACATTTAGCTATATACGGGTATATTATGTCTTTGAGCTTGTAAGACACTGTTGGTATAAAAGTACAAATAATAACGCCTCACCCTATGATACATGTGTAATATGTCTAGAGAACATGACTGCCCCAGCCAATGATACATGTGTAATATGTCTGTAAAACATGAATGTCTCAACCAATAATACATGTGTAATATGTCTGTAGGACATGAACGCCCCATCCAATCATACATTTGTAATATGTCTGTACAACATGAATGCCTCACCCAATAATACATGTGTAATATGTCTGTACAACATGAATGTCTCACCCAATAATACATGGGTAATATGTCTGTACAACATGAATGTCTCACCCAATAATACATGTGTAATATGTCTATAGAACATGAATGTCTCACCCAATAATACATGTGTAATATGTCTGTACAACATGAATGCCTCACCCAATAATACATGTGTAATATGTCTGTAGAACATGAATGTCTCACCCAATAGTACATGTGTAATATTTCTGTAAAACATGAATACCTCACCCAATAATACATGTGTAATATGTCTGTACAACATGAATGTCTCACCCAATAATACATGTGTAATATGTCTATAGAACATGAATGTCTCACCCAATAATACATGTGTAATATGTCTTTAGAACATGAATGTCTCACCCAATAATACATGTGTAATATGTCTGTAGAACATGAATGCCTCACCCAATAATACATGTGTAATATGTCTGTAGAACATGAATACCTCACCCAATAATACATGTGTAATATGTCTATTGAACATGAATGCCTCACCCAATAATACACGTGTAATATGTCTGTAGAACATGAATGTCTCACCCAATAATAAATGTGTATTGAAACATGAGACAAGTGTTACAGCAGCCCTAAATTCCTATATATTCCCATGTAAAACTTTGATTTCCTATTGTGACCCCACCCTACCCCTGGGGGCTCTGATCTGAATAAATTTAAAGCTACACTACCCGACGATGCATGCATATTAACATGTTTGTGGCTTTATTTCTCTTAAGATGAAGATTTTTAAAGATTTTTTTTCTATATATTCCTATATAAAACTTTGATCTCCTACTTTGGGACCACCCCACCCCCAGGGGCCATGGTTTGAACAAAATTTAATCTGCACTATATCAGGAAGCGTTCATATAAATTTCACCTTCTAAGTTTAACTTCTAAGCTGAGTGGTTTTTAAAGAGATTACAGGAAGTACAGAAGCTCCACCCCACCTTTGCAATGTTTTTGTTTGTTTTTTTGTTTTTGTTTTCTTAAATTTCCTATATATACAATTTTCTAAATGTGATCTTGGACTTGCAAAAATGACCTTGGTTTAAAAAAAAATTACACATTCTCTGTTCATAATCAAATATGGACATCCAATGTTTCTCTATTGAAAAATCAAAGACCTGAAATGAATTTGACACTTTTTCTGCCAGTGACCTTGAACTTAACACAATGACCTTGGGTCAAAAATATGATATTCCTTCTGCTCTCAATCTTAGTCTGCTGTGGGGGTTAAAAGACTAATATGACAAGTAGTGCATGAAATATTCACTGTAAGGCATTAAAGTGTGTCTTAACTAGAGGTACTGTGAGCAAGCTCACAAAATAATACCCCCTGCCGATTTTTTGTTTAAAGGGATCATTCAAATTTTGTAAATGTGACCTTGAACTTGCCATAAAGACCTTGGTTATAAAAATGATACATCCTCTGGTCATTAGTTATCTTTCAGAGAAATATGGACATGCTTCTCCATTAGAAAATTATAGATCTGTTATACATTTTACACTTTTTATATGTGACCTTAAACTTGACAGAATGACCTTGGCTCAAGGTCATGACACACCCTCAGATCATAGGCAATCTCTTCAACAAGTATGAGCTTCTAGGGATTCTCCATTACAAAGTCACAGTAAAGCCCAGACAAGACTTTTTAATTTTTTTTTGCCAGTGACCTTAAACTTGCTGGAATGACCTTGCATTAGGGTCATGATACACTCTTGGATCATTAAAAATCCCTGTACCAAAAATGAGCTTTCAGTGATTCTCCATTACAAAGTTAAAGCCTGAACAAAAATTTAATATTTTTTTTTTGTCAGTGACCTTGAACTAACCGGAATGACCTTGGGTCAAAGTCAAAACAAACCCTCGTGACATTAGCAATTGCTGTACCAAGTGAGAGCTCTCAGTCTTTCTCCATAACAAATTTATAGCCTGAACAAGATTGCCCAGATGCATGGAAGGACAAGGCGATTTCCAATTATTAATTAAATCTTATAACTCATATATAAAGGGATTATAAAAACCTGCACAATGTTGATATCCTCTTCTTTTCTAAAGTTGTACTTTACATCATGTGGAATCTTTCAAAAAACAGTAAGGCATTAGTTAATTAATGTACTTATCAATCTGGCATACAAAGACATGTGTTTGAAGTTTATTTTCTAAGGTACATAATAGAAAGATATAACTTCCAAGGATAAAACAACATTGAAAGAAAATTGATGGCAGTACAGCTCTTGAATGACTTAAGTGATTTTAAATTAATCAAGAGGCCTAAGGACCTTACAGGTTACCTGAGTATAATAACAACACTATGAAGGATCCACTGAAGTATAAAATAAAAGAGAATAAACTGAGAGATAAAGATATATTGCCCAAAATCAAGAGAAATAGGATAATAGGATAAATAGAGCCCTGCCCTAACACCTCTGATGATTTTAGAGTTCCGTTGTTTGCTCTGCTCCTAATTTGTATTATTCCAATGGACTTCTGACCTTGATTACTGTTCTTTATCTCTATATTTCATTACAAAATTAATAGAGTCCTGCCAAGCACCAGAATACATGATCCAATGGTCAAGAATTTCACAAATCTGGTAAAAACACCCTTGCTCATTACAACTAAGATTTTCAAAGAAATTATACTATATAATCAATAGAACCCCGCCCTAACACCAGAAGCCCTGACCCAGGAGCTATGAATTCAATTTTGGAAGAATCATTCTTGCTCATCATAATCATGCACTAACTTTGATTGCTTAATACCCAGGAGCAGAGAAGATTTTGGAAGAATTAAGCTTTTTACTACATGATCAATACAGCCCTGCCCTAACACCAGAACCCCTGACCCCAAGATCAATACAGCCCTGCCCTAACACCAGAACCCCTGACCCCGAGATCAATACAGCCCTGCCCTAACACCAGAACCCCTGGCCCCGAGATCAATACAGCCCTGCCCTAACACCAGAACCTCTGACCCCGAGATCAATACAGCCTCACCCTAACACCAGAACCCCTGACCCCGAGATCAATACAGCCCTGCCCTAACACCAGAACCCCTGACCCAGAGATCAATACAGCCCTGCTCTAACACCAGAACCCCTGGCCCCGAGATCAATACAGCCCTGCCCTAACACCAGAACCCCTGGCCCCGAGATCAATACAGCCCTGCCCTTACACCAGAACCCATGGCCCCGAGATCAATACAGCCCTGCCCTAACACCAGAACCCCTGGCTCGAGATCAATACGGCCCTGCCCTAACACCAGAACCCCTGACCCCGAGATCAATACAGCCCTGCCCTAACACCAGAACCCATGGCCCCGAGATCAATACAGCCCTGCCCTAACACCAGAACCCATGGCCCTGGGGCCATGAATTTTAGGGGTGAAATGATATGCCCCCTTCATGATACGATACGTATTGTATAATTTTGTCTCGGTACGCCTATTTTCGATACGATACATTTTGATAAAAGCTAGGAAACAAATTCACAAATTGTTTTGTTTCACTAAATCCTGTCACTGAATCTACGTGCAAATTGACTAGAAGAAATTAATTAGGATGATTTGACTGTTAAAGATTATTTCACAAACTACCACTCCTAAAAAAATTATGTTTTTAAAACTAAATTATGCCGAGTAGCATGTTTTTACTTATACCAAACCTGACTGAATAACGATCCCAACCAAAAAATGAACCGAACCGAAAAATGGAGATTTTGTACCGTGTATCAAACTGAGAAAAAATACAGCGGTGAATCGATACCGCCCCTAATGAATTTGATAATTTTGGAAGAGGCATTCTTAATCAACATCACCATGCACTTTCTTTTCTTGTTAAATAGCCAGAGGCAGAGAAGATTTTTAAAGAATACATGCATTTTTACTAAATGATCAACAGAGCCCCACCCTAACACAGAACCCCTGACCCAGGGCCCACGAATTTCACAATTTTGGAAGATTTAGCGAACAAATTAAGTGCATGGTTATGTTGAGCAAGGATGCTTCTTCCAAAATTATGAAATTTATTGCCCCTTGGTCAGGGGTTCTGGTCATGTTGTGTGTGTGTTGGAGGGGGGGGGAGAGAGCTTGTGCTGTATCGATACTATAGTGAAAATCAATATAGCCCCCCCCCCCACCGCCCACAAGACCAGAGGGGGCCATGAATTTCACAATTTTCAAAGAGGCATCCTTGCTGAAAATAACAATGCACTTACTTAATTTGCTAAATACCCAAGGACAGAGAGGAAGATTTAAAGATAATTTATGCATTTTTATTATATATGATCAACAGATCCTAACACCAGAACTCCTAACCAAGAAGCCATGAATTTCAAAAATTTGGAAGAGGCATTAATGCTTATCATAATCATGCACATACTTTGACAGCTTAATACCCATGAACATATATTATCAATACACCCCCAAAAGGCCAGAACCCCTGAGCCTGGGACCAGGAGTTTGACAATTTTTGAAGACTTTTTAAGGTTGCATCAATTTTGGTGGCTTTAGCCCCAACCTTCAGGCCCCAGGGATAATGAAATTCACAAATTTTGTTCCTCTTTACACACAGATGCCATTTGCTAAAATTGGCTGAAACTGGTTCAGTGGTTTCAGAGAAGAAGCTTAAAATGTTTAAATGTTAATACACAATGCACAATGATGGACAAAAATAGACAGCAATAGATCACCTGAATGACACAGGTGACCTAATAACATACATTTTTCTTCTTAAAAGGCTTTTCATTCTAAGAATTCTCTGCAGAATGCTTAGTCTTATCTTAAAACAATTACATACTTTAATTTGAATTTTGTCGATTCCTTAACAATACAAACCCATTTATATTCAAAAAGGAAATTCAGTTAAACCTGTAAAATAGTGATTTCTTCATCTTCTTCAGCTTTACACAGATAAACAGCACATCCTGGGAAATCTGTCAATATAAACACAGTACAATTAGAAAATATATCTGCACAGCTTCAATGTATTAAAGGTACAAATAAGTGATATTTAGAGAACAGTATAGTGATAACTGTGGAAAAAAGTTAATAGCGATTCTCTGTAACCACTTAAACTTCTTTGCCACGCATGGTCACCGATTTTGATGAAACTTTGCCCATTATTACAACTTGACACCAGAAACATATATCAAATAAAATTTCGTTGCTATGTGTCTTGGTTGCCATGGTAACAGCCAGAAAAGTTGAAAAAATTGAGATTTTCAGCTACTTTAAATTTTTATTAAGCCTTAATAAAGACCAAGAAAAACAAACACACCATTCTCCAAAAAACACGACACCTTGTTGCCACTTATGCTATAAAGAAACTATTTAGAATTTATCTCTAAGTAAGTGGTAACCATGGGTACATTTGGAATACATTTTAGATTCTGAGAAATGCTCAAAAACGCTCAATATTCATAAATGATAGATGTTACATGATCAAACTCAATCAAAAACCTTATGTAATGAGGTATTACCAATATTATTCTAAAAATAACTTTCATGGTTGCCATGGTAACACAGTGTCACCATGCAAAATCTGTTGCTATGATTGGGTTAATGCTACTATCTTGAGGAAAAGCAATAAAATTCATGACTGGCACATATACATCCTTAGGACCTTGCAACACCGACAACATAAGAAAAATTGAGATGAATTGTTACTTTGCAGTGTAACCATGGAAACAATGTACTAGTTGTTTAAAGTGATATTTTTTTGCTGCCTTAGGAATTTACTAACCTTTTAATCAAGAAACACATTATTTGAATCACCTTGAATAGTACTTATCTCGTAGAACTAAAGTTGAATATCAAATATTGATAAAGGTTGTTGAAAAATACAACACTGTTGCTATGGTTACCAAGAAGAGAAAATGTTCAATTTTGTTAATTTTATGTCAATATTAGACCATATGAGCCAGCTTTTTGCATCCAGTTAGAGATTGGGTGGTAGTCAAAATTGAAAGTCAGGTTAGTTGTTCACATATATCAATCATAAAAGTTTTGGGAATCTACATACAAGGGTACGTATCCAAGGAAACAGAGTATTTTTCAGATTTTTATGCATGTTTTTTCGCCTTATTTCCATAGCAACGCACTATTTAAAGAATTGAAATTGAATTTTTTGAAATGTGAAAATTAGGGTCACACCAAGGCCTTTAAAAATTGATCATCAGTTATATAGAAATATGCTTTTTTAAAAGAAAGGATAAGATTAAAACACTAAGAGAGTAAATTTAAAATCCCTTCGTGGTATTAAAACCATGGCAACCATTGCCAACCTATAAGAAATATCATATTTTGTCCTTGGTATATGTTACAAAGATCTCTTGTCTATTATTTGCTTGCATTTCAACCTATAATTGTTTTTATTCTTATTAAGTGTATGACTTTATAAAATTAAATGAACAAAATTATTACTTTTGAATACTTTGTTTCCATAGTAACGTATGTTATAGTTGATTTACCAAACATGTTTATCATGCATTTAAGACATCAGGCCTTCAACTTTCAGAAACAGTCATTGTCACTTGTTTGCTTTGCTGCAAACGTTAACTGTGGGACTCTGAACATGTTGAAAAATGCCATTTTTCAAACTTTACGACATGTTGCTATGGTAACCATGACACGTAGCAACCAATTTTTGCCTGATTTGAATTTACGGTATCAAAGACTTTTATCATAGAGAGTTTGGAGAAATTCTGAGACTATGCGTGCCACAGCTCCTATATAAAAGTTCAAGTCATTACAGAGAATGGCTCTTAATCGCTAGCTAGAAAGGTCTAGAATTTTCTTTGATAAACTCCGCCCACCATAGCAAAGCATTGTGGTATAGTGCAACTGGTGTGCAGACAACATTTCCAGTAAAACAGAGCGAGAGGATGGATGACACAATCGGTACTTTTAATGTTGATGAGCTTGACTTTTTGCAAATAATTGAGGAAGATATCACACTTTCACAGATTTGTGATGCAATTGAGAAAGAAGAGGAACTCATTGACGGTATGCATGAAATCAGTTTTGGAAATGAGTTTCATATGAACCTCTGTATTTCGCCGCTGGCAGGTCCCAAAGTGCTGAACCTTGATGTTGACTTGTTTGGAGATTTTAATTTGGACGGAGGTGCTGATAGATTTGGTAAATTTAAAACGAACAGTGATGAGTCAGCCAAGCGTTTCGGGGGAATTTCTGATTCCGAAATTTGAGAAGTTGATTTCTAGTCAAGAAAATCAAAATACAAAGAGAAATACTTGTTGGGCATTCGGAGTTTTCGCCAAGAGAAAAACAAAAATCTGCCTCTTGAACTTGCAGTACCGGAACTTCTACACATAAATGTTTCTACCATGAGCTATTCATTGACACATTTTGAATGTGACGCTCACAAGATGGAAGTGAATACCCACCTAAGTCGGTCTACTATTTAGTTTGTGGATTATTAAGGTATTTACGAGACAACAAGAGACATGACGTTAACTTTTTTCAGACTTGAAATTTGCAGATTTTAGAAAAATTCTGGATGCTCAAATGAAATCCCTTTTGTCAAAAGGCTAGGAACTGAAGTCAAACAGGCAGATCCAATAACTCAAGAAGACAAAGAACTGCTTTGGGAAATAGAAGTACTGGGAAACAAGTCTGCAGAAACGCTACAATACACAGTGTTTTTTATAGGTGTAAACTATTCGGGATGCGGGGATTTGATGAGCACAGAGACTTGACATGTGCAAACGTCACATTGGTGAGGATGGGCGAGGTAAATACATCCATTTTTTCGGCGGTTTGAACAAGACTTTTATGGGAGGACTTGCCAACCTAACTCTGTAGAGTAAGGATATTCTTCACTATTGTCAACCAGGTATGTCAGATAAAACATATTTTCTCCTTTACATTGATATAAACATTTTAATTTTAACGTTTAAAACTACAATCTACAATGATGAATATAAATTTATTTTTGTTACTTTTTTTAAGGAGATCAATGCATAGCCAACTATTTCCATCAGTACCTTAATGCACTCGGAAACGATGGAGAGTTTTACAGACGTCCACTTGCAGAGAACCCTATTTGATATGGTGCACAAGTTGTTGGTGTAAACAAAATTAAGAGCTTCATGAAAATCATCTGTAAAAAGGGGGGCCTCGTTGGAAACTTTACTAACCACAGTGTCAAGCGCACCTGTGCTGGCCAGTTATACAGCGCTGGAATGGATGAACAGGTGATCATGTAGAGAACCGGTCATAGGTTGGAGAGAGCAGTGCGGAAGTACAAACGATCATGTCCAGAGGTAGCTGAGAATGTCAGTAAATTACTGGATCCTCTGGCGCCGAAAGCAATGAAAACGGGAACACCATATGACGAAAATGATAACCAAGAAACTATGTGTACTGAAAATATGCTGGAGAAAGTTTTTGTAGGTCTGGAGTCTTGCAGCAATTCATCAAAAAAAAAAATTGACAACAGGGCAATGGCGGATTTGACCAACAAGTTTTCAGTTTGAAAACTGTAAAATTTCGTTCAATTTTTGAGACAAAACATACTTGTGACATATTGCAGGAAAACTTTTTTAATGTTTGTTTTTAATCATACATGACAGTACATGTGTCAACTTTTTTTTTGATTGCTAAAGAGAAATAAATTGTTTGCAATTTGTTTTTATTTTAAAAGCATGTGATAACAAGTTATCACATTGGAAGTTATCGCATGCTTAAGCTCCACCCCCTTTCATTTTAACTACATTTAACATATAGGCAACTTCAAATGGAAAACATCGCATCCATGACACAATGTTATTATAAGGCACATTTGGGTTTATTCATGCATATATTTCATGATGCCTGTATAAAAGTAGTCTGATACTCTTAAAACTATAATACATCTCTTAATTTATTTTCTCAAATATAAAGTCACAAACCTATAAAATATAGAGGTAAAAATGATAATATCTTCTTAATCCTTTCACACGTTGTACATCACATCCTGTAGAAGCTGTCAAAATTAACACAAACAAATTAAGAAATGACACTTTTTCTTGTACATTCTTGGCACACATCATGATCATGCAAGACTGACAATTTAATGGAGTAGCTAATCTTCATTGTATGCTTCTCAGAATCATATTCATTTGGACTGTTTATTTTGTAATACTAGTATTAGACTCAATTTTTAGCCGGGCTCATTGCTCATAGAGCAATAGCAGGCTTATGTTACGGTGTTCAACTGGAAATGCTGCTTCCTCACCGCCAAATCAAATACGAGTAAGAATATAGAATGCATGTTCGACCACCTTTGAGGCAATACAGACACTAAATTAAACAAAGTAACAGTATATGAAATTCTCTAAACCCGGGATAGACATTAACTTTCAAATTCACTTGCCCTTCGAGCAAGTGATCGCAAACTGTGACTTGTCCGAATGCAAAACTTGGTTGTCCAAAATTTGGAAAGAACTGAAGAAGAAAATTATTTTTACTGTAAATGTTTTGATAAGAAAAAATGTGATCAAATACACTACTGTCAATTTGGTAAGTTGAACTACCTGAAAAAATTTCGATGCTGCATTTGTACATAAATGTAAACCTTTGTCCTTGTAAATTTAATCTGTTAGCACACACTGCAATGCAGCAATAACCCTCCGTTTCCTTTTACCGGTAATAAAATTCATGTTTTTAAGAATTATATTCGGTAGGTTTCTTTAGTGAGTCATGATTTTCAGATATAACTATGAAGCAACGCTAAAGGATGATAGTTGCTATGAAAGATACATCTTACATCGTGTTATATTCTGTGAGTAAATAAATAATCTAATTTCCTAATAAGAGTTAACAAAGTTGTTAGATGTAGAGCTTATTTACTATGAAAGAAAACAATAACAAACCCGAACGGTATAATCTAGAAACGCAACTAA